AAAAAGGTAGAAATTTTACAGATCCAATGACAGAAAAAATATCACAGTTTTATTTGTGCAATACAAAAAAAGAGATTTCACCAAATTACTGTCTTCCAACAGCTCTCATACAATTTTAGTCAGACATAAGGTGTCTAACTAGCTTGTCAAATGCTACATTTGGCTAAAGAATTGATTTTTTTTTACCTCTAATATCAAAAGAACTAAAAAAAAGAATACTGTAAAATAAAAATCGGAGTCTTGAGAAAATAAGTTTCTGCGCAAAAGTTAGTTTAAAATTTCACTTTTGAGATTGTTGAGCTAACACTGTCAAGCCAAGCACAATCATTTTAGCATGACTAAGTATTGCTTATTCCATCATGTGAGGCATTTAATGTGTGACACAGTTTGTCCTCCACCGCAGTTTGGATATGAAGTTGTCATACTTGTATAATCCTATTTAAATAAAGTCCTCAAACTTGGGTCTATATCTTCAAGAAGCCAGCCACAGTCAAAAATAGCAACATACCTGTCTTAGCCTGCAACGGTTTTATTAGATCCTCGTTATTAAACTGCCCTGCTGGGCCTCTTCCCAGTATTTACACGGTCCTGTTTAGTTATCGGTTAAAGCAGGAAGCAGTCCTCCAAACAGACTCTGAGGAGACAAGAGGACAAGTTTCCTCAAAACATCCAACTTGAGAGCTCAGTTAGCCGCCGTTCTTAGAATACCCCAGCTTTAATAAAAAACATCCCGAGCTTGTCACTGGCTTCACAGAACACATTCAGAGATTTCATAATCTCGGTCATGCCTAAATGAGAATGCGCACATGAGTTTGTCAGCCGGAGGAGTAATTATAACATCGTGCAATGATAATTACTCGTTAGCGGAAAGTCGTGGAAAATATAAAAAGCCAACATCTGAAGGACGAGGGCAAGCTACTGCAGGTTGTTAACCCAATCATAAGTCTCATCCATATTTAATGGGATTAGGGAGATTTACTTCTCAAATTCAAGCTTTGCTTAATTAATGCTTCATGAGGATGAAAAACCTCAAGGATGAATAAAAACTGGACATTTACAGTAAGCGAGATTATAAACAGAGACAAAATATACTATGTTTTATCCCCATTTCTTTTTTCTGACATAAGTCTCATCAAAGTATGATGCAAGGTTAACTACCTTTAGTAGAAAGTTACAACGTTGAAACAAAAAATATACAGCTTCTGTTGGAGTATAAACAAAACATATCTGTCGAAAACAGCCCTGGTACATTCTGGTGTGTTGTGGGAGGCATTGTATCAAGACAAATGTCTAAAGGAGGGGATAAATTAGAGGAGGAAGTGTTTACATTAAGGGAAAACAGCTGGAGAGGTTAACAGAGAGAGATGGGGTCTTCTTCACGTCACCCCCTCCTTGATGTTGCCAAAGAAAGTGATAATGGTTTAGTAAAGCAAATGAATTGGGCTAATTTAGCATGAGATTATACAGTACATATCAAGAGTATAGAGTAGAAGGAAAAAAAGGACACATACAGTACTGTATGTACTTTTATTCTGGCAGAATTTTTTTTATCATATTCCAGCTGGAAGTGCCCCAAAAGTGTGACAACTAGCTGTTACAATTTGCAAATGAACATAGGATTAGATGTAAATTGCTAAATAATTTAAGAGTGGATGATGTGTAAAGGTTTGAGGTTGTAGAGATGAATTGCTGTAAGATGGTGGCAACTGGGTCCACTCAAGTCGTTGGCTTGTCAATCCAGTCAAAATTTAATTCCTGCTGCCTTTCTAGTGTCAGTACCCCGAAACTTGTGTGTGCCTTGTGTGGTTTACTCAGGAGTCCCTTCATTAGGACTGGTTGTAAATATCAAAAACAAAAAGAATAGCCAAAAAAAACAAACAAACACACAAACAAAAACAAAAAAATCATAGAAGACTGACACTACTGACTCACGATGGATTTATACATTTTCAGATCAAGACCTTTTCAAGTCAACTATTATCTTTACTCGCTTCTTCCTTTACATGTTGCAGTGGATGCTGGTGCCTATGTCCTGCAGTCACTGTGCAAGAAGCAGGGGACACCCTGGACAGATCACAAGTCCATCACAAGGACGCATGTCCATTCACACCTCACACAGCAACCTTCTCGCTGAGAGATGACAGCTATACCAACTGTGCCACAATGCCCCTCTTCCCCATTTTAGGCTATTTTCTAGTCATTGCTTTTGACAAGTTGTTGGAATGTTGTCTCACAGAAAGTTCCCCCATCTTGATGCATTTATGGTGGACAAAGTCTGGAGCATGTGTATAATAATTTGAAAACTGACTTTTTTTTTTTTTTTGAGCGCTTCTGTGGTAAGGTCAAATTTTCCACTGTACATTCTTCCCAGCACTGCAAAAATAAGTTTTGCTCAAAAGCACCTTCATCTGCTAATCAGAAATAGGTTTAGCGTACACTGAAGCCAATTAACAAATGAAAGTCAATTACCAAGGCAAAGATTTCATAAAATTACACATTGCTTTGATTCCAACATAATGCATATTATTTACATCTACTTTTGACTATAATTTGCTTGAGGCAAACTATTCAAGTGCATTTATGGAGAAAAGTACAATAAATGACATACTTCCTGTAAGTAAGTTATAAAAGTGAGTTTATACTCTGCAGCAGTGTTCTTTAGAAGGTGACAGTTTGTAGGAAAACAATCAACTCCTCTTAAATTAAAGTGATGTGTGTAATCTCGATAAGCCTAAACCCTTAACCAGCTAATCCTGTCCCTGTGAGAACAAGAAACTGTATTTCTATACCAAGTTATTTTTATACATATCAAAGTTTCAGAAAAGAAATCTACCTCAACTTTGGTGATCCTAATTATATGGGAATGTCTGATTATTTCCATCACTAACAATTAATTGGAGCTGAACTGAGATCTCTTTAATAAGGTTTGATCAAACCCAGGAGCTCAGGAGATGTGGCATGAGTTGGTCAGGACCCCAGTGAATGATGACAGTGCCGACAGCTCACTGTAGAAACACCTGGCTGGGCCTCTATCCCCCCCTTCCATCACCATCCCCCATCCATACCACACCATCAGCCTCAGTTCCTCTCAGCCAGATGCTACTGATGGACCAGGTGTAATAACACCAAGCTAAACGTCCCACAGTACCCATCAAACTTCACACCCTCTCTTTGCATCAGTTTGTATATGTTGAGTTTGATCTTTAGCACAAATTTGGTTCTGATTTGATGAGTTAATACATTGATGCTACGTGTGGTCAAACTTAGCATTTCCTAATGATATTAGATAAATTGAGGCATTTAGTCAAAAGCTTCTGTGTGTCTAAGCTTGTAAAATGTTAACAACCCTGCCAAAATCAGTAAGCCTCATATGTTAGCACTTAGACAAATAGCTGTGCTGAATTAAAGTGGCAGCCAGGGCCTTGCCTTCCAGTTAATAACAGTTTCCTGTGGTCTTGTGAGAAATTGACAACTTGCTGTATCAGCAAAGCAAACACAAAACTTGTGAAGGAATCTAACATTGTCAAAGCGCCAAAACGGCTGATGAAGGATGAGGTTCAGGGGCTCTGGATAAGGCGCTGGCTCATTCGTCTTTCTGACGAGGAACTCCTCTGTTCACCTTCTTTTCCTGCAGGGGGACTGAGGCTGATAAACTCATTGATCAAAGAGACACGAGAAATCACGCCAAGCTACTACGAGCTAAGTGGAACTAAACAGGCGTGTGGAAACTTTAAAGGGAAAGTTCCGATTTGTCAATGTGTAAAGCAGGGATCTGTGTAAATGTCATGAACTTTTAATTAAATTCAGACTATATTCTATCAGATATATTAGCTAACGCTTAATTTTCATAACTGTTCCATAGAAAACTGCTTCAAAACATCCAAAGTATACTTTAGTGTCAGAGCATTAAAAGCTATGATAATATTTTTAATTAATAATTATAAGTTATGTGTATAACTTTGAACAACTAATTGTATAAAGGCAGAAATAAACATTTTAAACCAAGTTTGACGCTTTAATACGCCTACACAACTATTAAATTTACTTTTTCTCCATTTCTTTAAGCTGTCAGACCCACCTTTTCCAGACACAAATGCTCTTCGCAGTGGAAAACAATTCACATAATTTTAGCAGTACTGGAAAATGCAGACAAGAAATTAGGCTTGACGGGCTGTAAAACATAAAAGTTCAACATTCTTTTGCAGAATGGTGATAAGCTGGGAAGTATTTTAGCTGGAATGGTGGACATCATCACTAATTAGGGTTTGACATCCAAGATAAAGTATCACTGAAGTTTGTTTTAAAGGAATGCAGGATCAACCAGAAACTAATACGATCAGATTTTCTATAGTTTTATTTCACAACCAGTTACTTCAATGATACGGATTATCATCCATCTGCGATCTAAAATGACAAAGCGGGTTAATAAATTAGGAAAGGTCTAGCTTAATTAGAGTTTTGAATGCAGACAGTTTAAGTGACAGTGTGAGGACTACATTCCATAAATAAATAAAGAAATAAAAAGACCAGGCTGTTTTCCAGTTCACCCTCTCATGATTTGACCCTCTCTTCTCCCACATCAGCTTAATTAGACACAGCCACACACAAATTAGTTCTTTTCCTTTATTTTTTTCTAGCTTCATACGCTGAATAGCTGGCTGAATGTCAAGGCACCACCACCAAAAAAAAAAAAAAAAACAGCTCTGCAAAACAAGCAGCTTTCAGAGCCGGGGGGGAACCATCAGCAAACACATTAGGAAGAGTAAACTGAGTGCAAAACTTTGTCGAATTTACAAATAAACTTTGCAAAGAAGTGTACAATATTAAAACATGGCTCAAGTTATTGCAAGAATGTTGACGTCTCAATGCATCAGTTAGAATCGATGGCGAAAAAAAGGACAAATAAAAATGAGTGGTTTTACTTGTGCGTGTATAAACCTGAGGCTCTGTACTTTTTCAGATGACATCTTTGTGTTTTAGTATGAGATGCAGCTACTCACCCTGCGGTCTTTCTGTAACAAAGTACGTCCTGCTACAAAAGCAATAAAGGCTGAAGTATTTCTTCCCTCAAACACGACTAGTGACAAAAACTAACACACATCTCAAAGTCCCAAAACTTTTTGCTTTCTCCCGGCAGATCTGCACAACTCCCCGATTCCCCTCCCTCCCTACCTCTCTCGCTCTTCAGCACTTCCTGGGCTGCTGTTTACGCTCCAATCAGGCCTTCCAAGAGCCTACTGCTTCCCCTCCGTTCGCCTCCCCTCGCTCTCATTGTTCAGCCGGGGCTTGTCACAAGTAGGCGTCTGTGTGTGTGTGTGTGTTTTCTTTAACGAAGGTGTTTTAACCTCTTACCCAGAGTCTGGTTCGCCTCAATCACAAAAGTGAAAGAAGTTTGAAAGAGGGAAGATGGAGGGAGGATGGGAGTGATGGAAAAAAAAAAACATATGGCGGGGGGATTCTTGCTTGAATGTCTGACTAAGGCAGATACATTTTTCCAAATGCATGAGGGAAAAAGTGGGGGTTATAGTGTTGAGTTAGGTCTGGGGGTGTGTCTGGAACGTTCTCTCCAAATCCAACAGTTTGCTGTTAAAAACCGCAACGAGGCTCAGCCTTTCGTGGCCCCTAGCTCCTCACCAAGGCGCCCTTCCTATACCGTGCCAAAACTTTTCTCCATATTACTCCAGCTCCTTTCTCTCCAAGTCCCAATAATTATTTCACTAATAAACCTGCCAGACTCATACATTAAAACTTCCTTAAGGCTTTGAGTGAAACGAGAAAGCGCAGAAGTGCTATATGCAGGGTACAAAGGTGAAAGGTGACTTGTGGGAGGAGACAGGTTGACAGCAACACACTAAGCTTTTGTTCATGCTGTTGGCAGGTCCATCATTGCATGGTTCTAGCACCTTATAGTCTGTCTAGGTGTTCAAATGGACCTAAAAGTATGGTTTGCTTTCAAAAATTTACATTTAGAAGTAAAAATAAGGTGAATCACTTTGCAGGTTGTTCTCTCTGGCTCTGTAGAGACATAGAGGTAAGCTTTAAACAATAATAGCAATTTGGTTCATTTTTTTTTTTTAATTCAGTGATTGAAAATAATATAATTATTTTAAAGATCCATACACCTGAAAATGTTGGTAGACTCAACATGTCCAGGAGGTTTCTCTCTCGCTCTCGACGAAGACGGATGCTCTCTTTCCCTCTCCTTCCTCCCATCCTGCTTTTGCTTTTGTCCTGTGAATCTCAGAGCCTCTCGTTACACATCTTCCAAATCAAAAATTATTATGGATCTGGTCAGCTGGTCTCTCAACGCAATTGATACAATTTTCTCGACTAGAAGACACGGTGCAGGAGAACCCTCATGCCCTGAAGGGACACACGCAGCTGGATATGTCATGGATTCCTGCGGTGTTTGGAAGATGATGTGCTTGTTTGTGCTGTCTGTTGAGGATGTAGAGGACGCATACATAATTGGAATTATGATAACAGGGTTTCTGCTTTTTGGAATTGATGTATACCTGGGATATTGACTAGCTAGGAAGACGTCGGCAGCAGTTTTGGCAATAGTAAAGCTGCCTGTCATTATATGAAGGATTACTCTGTGTTTCGAGCTCACAAACTAATATGCTTTGCAAGCTGAACCGTAAGCTGGACGCGATTTCTGAGAATCGTGGGCCAACTGCAGCTCCTAGGACTCACCGGCATGAAGGAATCGACCTTGGAGAAGGCTAACAAGCATAGACCGGCGGAATGTCCACAAATCTGGCTGTTTGGATTCACCATTGAGTGTACCAACAGAACTGAAGGCAGACATGACATCAGTAGAGTCAGCCTGCACAAAACAATTGTTTATCTGAATTTGACCTTCCCGCTGGCCTTGGATAGGCCAACTTATCTCAAATTGTGCTTGGTTTATATGTAAATTAAGAAGCTCTGCCCCCTCCCCCCCCCCCCCCCCCCAATAAAAAAGAACATCTGTGGACCCTTATCAGAGTGGACCGGCTGAGAGACACTGTAACATTTTTATCAGGACTATGGAAACTATCTGGAAGTGTTCATGGACAATCTCCCTGTCTTGTTGTCCTCCTGCAAAATGTATTATGTCTCTCTATGCTGCTTGTGCTGATTTTGATTCTGATGTCATGGTGCCACTGCTCAAAGTTTAAAAAGTATGCAATTTTTTTTTTTTTTTTTTAAAGCTGGAGTAATCTTGCTTTGGGTTTTCTGCTAATGCCAGCAGCATATGGAATATTGCAAGCTTAACACAGCCTAAATACTACTGATGATCTGTAAATGTTCTTAAAATGGCTTTGTCTGTGAGATGGGAAATAAATCCTACCAGATTTATGACTTGTTCTTCGAAAAATGGACAAGATTCCTCCAATCAGGAAGTGAAAGCTGCCACAAAAAGTTGTGATAAATTTACTCTTTATACTGACCATGCAGGTTCTTGAGCTTCTGACCCTTCTCATTTTTACTCATTTTGAAACTATCAAAGAGCTTAAATTTCTAAGCAAAATTACCATTTCTGTCTTCTTTAACTTTACGCTTTTCAAAAATAAAATCTCTTAACCACTTTTCTACTTATTTCAAAGCAGGTGTTACCCAGAAGTGTTCATAATATCTTGTTCAATACTCAAAATGTTGAACCAAGGCTACTTAAAATAACTGCATGTAGATCATACTTAAAAGCAAACAGTAGATCCTTTAGCAGGTTTGTGAATTATCTAAGCACTGATGCATGGCTTCAGTGGAGGTCCAACTTCAAATGAACGTACAACTCTCCCTCATTTGTTTTCTTCAAAGTCGGTGTGCTATTTTCTCCTCTTTCCTGATCCAACCTCTCCTTTCTTTTGCTTTGAATGCAGGTCTTTCAGTCATTCAGCTGAGCCTCATGGGCAGAGTGGGGTTCTCCTGTGCCAAGCTGAATCCAGGAAACATTCATCTTGTTGTTTAGTCTGGGCACCATGTGTTGGAGCTGGGAGGCCTCTCGCTTTCACAGACCCCCTTTTTTTTTGTGGACAAAAAGCACAAAAAATCTGCACTGGCAGACATGAGCTGAGCAGTTATACAACTGTGTCAGTATTTATGTGCTCGGACACACAAGCACACACACAAAAAAACCCCTCAAGACTTCAAAGAAGAATTTTGCACAAAAAGCAGAAACGTGAATAGATAAAATTGTTCCATCACTCCCTCCCCAGTCCAGGTGACAGCACGAAGGCTTTGTGCGTCAGCATTTACTTTTCATGCAGCTTTTATCTCATAATAATGCATGGGAAAGTGACGTTGACTCATTTGTGGTGACAGGAAGCAGGTACAGTATGTGTGTGGAAGTAAACGTGAAGCATGGGAATGTGTTTGTGATTTTGTTTTGCTTGTTTCAAATTAATTGTCAGCTTTCTTGACTCGTGGACACTGTAAACAGATTCCACTAACACTAATTTCTCACTGCTCAAAAAAGACACGAATAAAATGCAAACGTGAGACAAAATAAATCAAAACACTTGGGATTTGACCATAAATGAGCAGGTGAGAATGTCACCTGAGGCTATTCAGCTCGGTGTATCAGCCTGAGCCAGACTGCCACTGAAGAGTCATCTCGGTGAATGAGCCACCTGTGAGTCTTGGAAGAAGCAAACTGCACTTCTGCTACTGAACTGCAGTAAAGAGGACAAAGAAACACCCAGCTTTCTTTCATGATGCCAAAGGCAACTGAAAAAAAAAACCTTAAAAAAAAAAAAAATCTTGGTTGGTAGAGTTCATTTAAGAAGAAGACATAATTTCAAATATAAACAATGCAGATTACATATTTGCCGAACAAGCTTTAGTGATAAAACCAAAAACACATCCAAGCCTGCTGGGAAATATCCCACTCATGTTCATCATCTGATAAAGCAGATTCTTGAACATATTGCCATTATGGATTTCCAGGGAGGCGAACGTAAACAGAAATTGATTAAATAAATTAATAACAGTTGGATGTAATAGGAATGAGAAGCGAGAGGTGTGAGATCAGATCGAGGGTGCAGAACTGAATGTGGCACTATGAGGTCACTCTGATTTCTCTGTGTCCGGCTGCGTCAGAGACGCAAAAGAAGAATGAGACACCGCACGGAGCATCAGATGAGACTCATGACTCAGTCGTATAAACACAGCTGAATTAAACTGACAACATTGTAGAGAGCATTAATAGAGTAATTTCAACTTAGTGTGAATATTTAGCTCTTTCTAGAAACTATGTTTGTTCTAATTATTTTAATTTCTACTGTCAAAATTTAACAGAATTTGAAATATGTATTATTAATTAAGGATTTTAATCACACTGAACAAACCTTATAACAAATATTCTAATCCTGCAACACAAACAACTCAATATATGAATATTATGGTAGCTGTTTAAACATTTTGAGGCAGTAGAAGTATAACATTACCTAACACAATGTTATCCATTATAAATGCAACACAAATGATCATTTGCGTGATGCCTTACAACCACAAAACCCTTGTGGCATTTTAAAACAACTTTTTATAGGTGAACTAAATCTAACCTGAGGGATGATTCTGTAAGGAACATGTTATTTGCAAAAGTTGGGCAGAGTGTGACCTTGCATACAAACGTGAGTTTTAGCAGCTGTAGCCAGTTGTTTTGACTCCAGCTCCAACATTTTGACTTCTGTTTGTTCCACAACCCATGCGCAGAAAGAAGCAGCTAACGGAATGAGGCATGGCCTTGCACCCCTGGTCACATAAAGCATGCTTTAATAAGGACAGGAAAGTCAATACCTTATTTTCCTGAACTAAACACAGTTAATGTCACAGTGCATGAGCTGATGGGGAAGGGCTAGACAACTGCAGTAAGGAATGTGAAAGAGCAGTAAATAAGTGTGGTGAGTGTGAACACATTTTAAACCTGAGACTATGATGAGGTAAAGAAAGTGGATTAAACAAGAGAAAAGTAAAAACGATGCTTTTAGATCAAATGAGAGTACAAGCTCTTTTTTCTCTCACACCCCTCCTGTTTCATAACGCTTGTACACACAACACAGTTTGTGTCATGGACGTTT